ACTAATCTTGTATGCATTGCGAGTTTGGCAGCGATCAGGGAAGTTTGCTTCACTGTATTTTGCTGTACGATGATGATGATGGTGATGATGATCCCGGAGCTGAAAATCCACCCACCAGTGTGTGTGAATTCACTAATAACCTAATCTGTAACCATGTATCTTTTTAACGTTTGACAATCGTATTCTACCATTCACTCCTGTGATAGTCGTTTTCAAAAAGATTCTGCTAAATTTTCATTCAACCCCCCGTTTTCACAATCCAGTGCCAGTATCCGCACAATTTGCAAAGCTTTTTGAAATGTTGGCCTGCTGACGAGCGTGAGCAGTGGTTCAAATTCCGTGGTGAGCTTGGAGACACTTTCCTTATGGCTTACTCACATCGACTTTCGAAATCATGGTTCCTCGAGCATTCCGACTTACGAGCGTTGGTGAACGCGTACCAGTGCTCTGCTGATAGCACATGGCAGGTGGGTTATTTTTATGGCACAGTCTGACTGGATTTTGTTGTTCAGTCTTATTCGGTAGTTCTCGGTTTGGAGTGTCTTGTTGTCGTTGTCCTTCATCTACTGTTTTCTCTTGAACCAAGTGTGGAACAAAAAACTAAAGCCGTTTCAAATGGACGCACTAGTTTGGTGAACAATAGGTGGGTTGAAATCCACGAGCTGATGAATCTGCTGTTACATTATACAAATTGGCGCTTAGGTTATGTGTGGTTTCAGGACGGGTTATATCGAGGCTATCGACCAGTAAATTACAATTACAATAAGGTCCAATAGCATACTAAGCTTGCACAAAACGAGCCAGAGACATCATCTTGTGTACCCTATTGAACATCAGTTCAACTTTAACTCCTGAAATTCATTGACTAACCTATTGATTACATATATCTTTGTTGCTGCCCAATGACAGCTCTATGTATGTATAATGGAAGTAAACAAGCTAAAAGAGTGAAATCGGGTGCTTTCTGGAATGGAATTACTGTTTAAACACCTTTGTTCATGACCTAATCGCATCGCCTTTGACCTACTGCTTCTAAACTAGGCTGATCGTTTAGAACCCGATTGCCACACCGTACCCGCGAAAACTGGATACCATATCTCTGCGACTATCTTCAACCTTGTTCCAACCATGCTGAGGAATCTTACCCTAAAATCGAGCCTAGGAGAGAAAGTGTACATGAATCGGACTTCTCCTGTAGTACCGGGCTTCGGCTATCAATCACGTTGTTGATTCGGTCTCTTGCGAATTCAAGTAGACTTGAACATCGATTCTCATCGTGTATCTTCCGCATAAAATCGCAGGGTCTCTGTGCCGTTAAACATCCTTGCCCAATGCGTCCCAATTTGCATTGAATCTTGAACTAGTAGATTTCATGTCACTGTCATTGGGTGTTTTCGTTCACAGTTAAGTTTCACTTAGTATAACCAATAACTGTGCGCTTTCATGCGTCGGTTTCGGTTACTTTCTTTTGGCCACCCATTTGGATGAAGCAGTAGGAGAAAGACAAAAAATATGTAGGTAAAGTCGAGGAGAAAGTGGGGAATTTCAGTGGAGTAAGGTTGCAAAGAATTCGAGTAAACGCCCGAACGGCACTGTTTGTGACACTCAGCCATACCACTCAGTGTCTCTGACGATTGATTACAATGACCCGAGGTCCCCAGCCATCGAGCCTAACGGTACCTAGTGACCGAATCTCAGGGTTGGGGTTTTCCTACCCTCTCGCAAAGGATTACTTTGACCACCTCAGCTTTTTGGTACCTACTACCTGCCTCAGCAAACGTAGCGCGCCGTAGTAATCTATTTAGTTACATGCGACCACTCTTTTCAGTAAGCGCCCGCGAATACCTAAACCTTCGCGTCTAACCTCGGTATTGCTCTTCCAGTTGACCCACGAGATACGTGCAATACTCTATTAACAACGGTGTTTGAACACCGTCAGTCCCGTGTTCCCAATTCGACGGTAAAGAACGCGACTATTACCAGTACTCGCAGTCATCTCCATCTTGCCACCCACTCCTACAAACCACTTATCGCAGTCCTTCCTTAGGCTCTTGATGAGCTGGTGTTTAAGGAATTTGCATACTGTCATATGTGACATCTGGAAGAAGGGTTTTGCGGGTGTTCAGCAGGGCAGCCGAG